TGTGTTCCTAGTGAAGTTACCGACACAGCCCAGTGTACTTACATAACTAATATGTAGTACATAGGTAGTATCCTGGAAAATGATAAACCTATTATACAGGAATATACAGTGTCCCTTGAATATTTCTAAACACGTATTATTATTATTATTATTATTATTATTATTATTATTATGTATCTCCGAAGGGGGACCTTTACGAGGTTATTTGTATTTTTCTACCGACTTCTATTTTATTTCGCTCATAACTCAAGAACGCCTCAGCGATATTTAATTTTATTCAATAAGTAAGAATGCTTCTTCTGACTGGCTTCACAGTATTATTGACGAAGCATTCTATAAGGATGATGCCTCATAAGTTTAGTATGAGTAGATACATATTTGGAATTTTACAGAAATAGTTAAAAAAAAAATCTTGGAATCATCGACGTCAGATTACCAGAGAATGCTTTTTCTGATCGGCTTCAAACTTTACCACTGGTGGGCTTTATTAAAACAGCTTGTCATTCACTTTGAGATGTGTAAATTTTAATTGGCCAATTTTTTAAGCAAATTGTTTCCCTTGAGTAATATCAAGAGAATGCCTCTTCTAATCAGTTTCAAACCATATTTGTTGGTGTATCTTAATAGAAAGCATTTTTATATTAACTTGGTATTATTATTATTATTATTATCATCGTCAACACTAAGCGCTAAACCCACAAAGGTTATACAGCGTTGCCAATGTGTCATTTTTGCCAGTTTTATCAAACTGGATTTTTTTAAATCAAAATATTTTTTTTCATACAGAATTGTTGAGAACTTTAAATATGTGAATGAGAAAAGCAAACTGGGAAAACAAATAAAGATCTGCGGTTATGGTGTTTTTTTTAGCCTCATTCGATTGGCTTCAAATTTTCAGCGCTTGTCTTTGGCAAAATTCATGGGACTATTGACTTGCGTGAGCGGCCTCTACATGTTATGCTTCACAGGCCTTTCCCAAATTTTGTTTCAGTATGACAGGTGGTCAGGCTCCTCCTCGCACCTGCTGTCACTGTTCACCTAGCAGTAAATTGGTACCTGGGTGTTAGCCGACTGGTGTGGGTCGCATCCTGGGGACAAGATTAACCTAAGCTGCCCAAATTTCTCTGTATAATAACAAGGGGCTTTTTGTATAGTATGTCATTGATGTCAACTAGGTCTGTATAAGTTGTATAATGTACTTTTAAAACTAGAGATTATTATAGTATAGTATTTTACCCTAATTATTATTATTATAATCAAAAAGAAGCGCTAAGCCACAAGGGCTATACAGCCATTTTACCCTTAGACATTAATTTGCGATGCTGGGGAGCTGTTGATCCAAGGAATTGAACTTATTTTCCTCTTGCCTGGCTCTAATCTGCCTCTCATGCTATATGAACCCTACGGCTTTAGCCCTTTCCTCTGATTAAAATATAATTGTGAACATCATCAATCTTCAATGGCTGACACATCGTATGAATTGGACTGATGGTTTGATGGGTTCAAAGCTTTCCAAGCTTCTTGCGTCAGTGATGCTGCCTGGCAGTTTGTTCCACTCATCTACAACTCTATTGCCAAACCAGTACTTCCCTATATCCCGTCTAAATAAAAATCTCACAACTTTAGTCCACTGCTGCGAGTCCTGTCCTGGCTAGATACAGGTATTTTCAACACGTTGTAAATAATCTCCTTCGTTTTCGTATTATAAAATGTAAACTAATACCTAAGTTCTTGCGAGTAGTAGTTGTAGTCTTAGGTTGTTTTAGACCCAGTGTTTATGTCTAAACTAAGATATTAACAAATAATACACGTACAATAATAAATATGGCATTACCCTAGCAGATGACGTACAGATTTTTGGCTTGTATGGCGTCATTCACCCATCCACCTTAGAAATATTTAAAGCTGGACATACCTTTGTAGGTTTTCTATCTTCTTTCCCACGTATAGTGAAGAATTCCGCACCAGGTAGACATATATGTCGCTAAACTTTGAGTTCCTCTGTCAGTTTGAAGAATGTCAACAGGACCTGAGGTGGTGAAGGGATCACATCTTTCTAAAATTACAACCTTCTCTGTTTATTTCACATTATTATTTATTATTATAATCATGGGGAGGGCTAAACCCGTGGGATTATACAGCTGTTTATTTCACAAATTCTTGTTGTGTCACATGTGACCTGTGACCACAGTGCTATTTTGTGACACATTTGTCCTATTATAACTTGGTCACCCAGGGTTGGTGGATGTGTAGTGTTGAGCATGTTGCAGCAGCAACATGCTCAACACACTTCAACTGACTATACTCTCCACTTCATAATACTTGAATAATATATTATAAAATTAAGCGCTAGATCCGAAAGGGTCAGAGCGTCACAATACTCGAATTATTATAATCATAACTACGCGCTAAACCCACAAGGGTCATACAACACAGTACTCTTTCTTTACCGTTGTATTTGATTATTCATGGAGAATTATTACACATAAGAGAAGCGCTAAACACGTAGTGGTCATACATCGTCTAATATTCATCATACATGGAACAGCGTTGTATAACCCTTTTAGGTTTAGCGCTTCCCCTTGATTTTAATAATAATGACGACGATTATAACGTCAACACTTCCTTTAAAGGAAGTGTTGACATTATTATAATCAAGGGGGAAGAACTAAACTCGTAGGACTATACAGCGCCTGTGGGAGAGGGCTGTGGAAGGTAATCAGGTTTAATTCAGGGAACTGGAGCACATTATTATTATTATTATTATAATCAAAAAGAAGCGCTAAGCCACAAGGGCTATACAGCTTGTATAGCCCTTGTGGCTTAGCGCTTCTTTTTGATGATAATGTGCTCCAGTTGAACTGGAGCACAGATCCCGGGAACTGGAGCACAGATCCCGGGAACTGGAGCACAGATCCTGGGAACTGGAGCACAGATCCCGGGAACTGGAGCACAGATCCCGGGAACTGGAGCACAGATCCCGGGAACTGGAGCACAGATCCCGGGAACTGGAGCACAGATCCCGGGAACTGGAGCACAGATCACGGGAACTGGAGCACAGGTCCAGGGAACTGGAGCACAGATCCAGGGAACTGGAGCACAGATCTAGGGAACTGGAGTGCAGATCCAGGAAACTGGAGCACAGATCTAGGGAACTGGAGTGCAGATCCAGGAAACTGGAGCACAGATCCAGGGAACTGGAGCACATTAAATTCCCTAGATCAAGAGCCCCTCAGCAGCCTATTGTGGTTACCTCTACTCATGAGCGGTGATACTATTCCAAGCCTTGCCATGCCTGTTCTTATAACCATGCAGGGGCTCCTGCTTCCACTAACTCATCCAGATCATTCCACTTCCCATCTACCTTGAACCAAAGCAATTGTACTATTCATGTGCGAAGCACTAATCCCAAAAGATGGTCATACAGCACATGATGATAATAATAATTATTATTTTTTTTATCACACTGGCCGATTCCCACCAAGGCAGGGTGGCCCGAAAAAAAAAAACTTTCACCATCATTCACTCCATCACTGTCTTGCCAGAAGGGTGCTTTACACTACAGTTTTTAAACTGCAACATTAACACCCCTCCTTCAGAGTGCAGGCACTGTACTTCCCATCTCCAGGACTCAAGTCCGGCCTGCCGGTTTCCCTGAACCCCTTCATAAATGTTACTTTGCTCACACTCCAACAGCACGTCAAGTATTAAAAACCATTCGTCTCCATTCACTCCTATCAAGCACGCTCACGCACGCCTGCTGGAAGTCCAAGCCCCTCGCACAAAAAACCTCCTTTACCCCCTCCCTCCAACCTTTCCTAGGCCGACCCCTACCCCGCCTTCCTTCCACTACAGACTGATACACTCTTGAAGTCATTCTGTTTCGCTCCATTCTCTCTACATGTCCGAACCACCTCAACAACCCTTCCTCAGACCTCTGGACAACAGTTTTGGTAATCCCGCACCTCCTCCTAACTTCCAAACTACGAATTCTCTGCATTAAATTCACACCACACATTGCCCTCAGACATGACATCACTGCCTCCAGCCTTCTCCTCGCTGCAACATTCATCACCCATGCTTCACACCCATATAAGAGTGTTGGTAAAACTATACTCTCATACATTCCCCTCTTTGCCTCCAAGGACAAAGTTCTTTGTCACCACAGACTCCTAAGTGCACCACTCACCCTTTTCCCCTCATCAATTCTATGATTCACCTCATCCTTCATAGACCCATCCGCTGACACGTCCACTCCCAAATATCTGAATACATTCACCTCCTCCATACTCTCTCCCTCCAATCTGATATCCAATCTTTCATCACCTAATATTTTTGTTATCCTCATAACCTTACTCTTTCCTGTATTCACTTTTAATTTTCTTCTTTTGCACACCCTACCAAATTCATCCACCAATCTCTGCAACTTCTCTTCAGAATCTCCCAAGAGCACAGTGTCATCAGCAAAGAGCAACTGTGACAACTCCCACTTTATGTGTGATTCTTTATCTTTTAACTCCACGCCTCTTGTCAAGACCCTCGCATTTACTTCTCTTACAACCCCATCTATAAATATATTAAACAACCACGGTGACATCACACATCCTTGTCTAAGGCCTACTTTTACTAAGGCCTACTTTTAATATACTAATATATATTTCTACAAGTACATGTACAAGGTATACAGGCCTAGCTGACATCAATGATATACTACTACTACTACATAGAAAGCCACTTGTTTATGCAAATATTTTTGGAAAATTAGGGCAGTTTTGTCCCAGGATGCAACCCACACCAATCAACTAACACCCAGGTACCCACTTTACTGATGGGTGAACATGGACAACCGGTCCATGTTTACCCATGTGAAGCGAGAGCTTTTGCCATCAGGCCATGGGCCACCGTTAATTAAAAGGTCAAATTAGGCTCTGGCTTATCCCCTTCAGGGTCATACAGTGCATCAGGAATGGGAGGCAATCATAATTAAACTAATAATTTAATCAAATTTTTATTATTATATTCATGGGGAGCTCTAAACCCTGAAGGGTCATACAGCTCCAGGGGAATGGAAGACATTCAGGCTTGATTCAAAGTAATGAAGCACACATCTAATTCCTTAGATTTGATCAAACGATCAGAGTCCTTGGATCAAGAACCCTTCAACAACATTAAGGAACACTCCTTGAAGATCAGACTTAAGTACACTGACATACCTGCATATCATTTCAGTGTTTTAATATGCATCTTGGCACACCACACAGAAACATGCAGGTGACCAACAATAAACCCAAATATCATGTGGATTTTTTTTTAGAAAGCTCTAAACCTGTAGGGGTTATAAAGCCTGTGGAATGATCCAAGGAAGAGGACAACCCCAATTCCTTGGATCAAGAACCCTCAATGGTATCAACAAACACCTCTAGAGGAGAGGATCCATTTGGTATATTTATTTTTAACATGGGTAAAAGTTAAACCTGTAAGGGGTCATGTAGTGCCTAGGAATGGAAGGCATTCAGGACTGATGATAATAATAATAACAACAATAACAATAATAATCTTGGGAGCAAGGGACTAGTAACTCCTTTGCCTGTATACATTACTAAATTTAAAAAGAGAAACTTTCATTTTTCTTTTTAGGTCACCCTGCCTCAGTGGGATACGGCCGCTTATTATTACAGCTCTCTGAAAGTGCTAAACCAGTAAGGATCATACTGTGGCTAGGGAATTTGAACTCATGAGCTTTAATCTGAAGGGGAGAGTAGCTCCAATTCTCTGGATCAAGACCCCCTCAAATGGAACAATACAAGTAATGGAAGAGAAAAAGGTATTCAGACAATCATACATTCTTCAGCAAAACTAACACAAGTTAATGATACTGTATACAGCCTCTCTTCACTTAGCGACGTACTCGTTTACCAACGACTTAGATTTATGATAGGCTTTCTGACCAGAATGCATGCCTAAATAATGTATATTAGAGCTGAGTTCCTCTATTCTTTTTATTACAGTACAGTGGACCCCCGCTTAACGATCACCTCCAAATGCGACCAATTATGTAAGTGTATTTATGTAAGTGCATTTGTACGTGTATGTTTGGGGGTCTGAAATGGACTAATCTACTTCACAATATTCCTTATGGGAAAAAATTCAGTCAGTACTGGCACCTGAACATACTACTGGAATGAAAAAAGTTTATTAACCGGGGGTCCACTGTATACTACTGTATAAATATTTAAAAATATACCAGAAATGTTATAAATGGTGCAAAGGTGACATTAAATCAATATCAAAGATGGTTGACACAAACCCACTACCATTATAGTATGCTCCTCACTTATCGACGAATTTGTTTACCGACGTGGTCTTATTAACGGAACTCCGTCACTAAGTGAGAAAGCACTAAACCCAAAAGGTTCATACAGCAGTGGTAATGCAAGGGGTAAATAGTAATCAAGTTTGATCCATGAAAAAAAAAAAGTCATCTAAGTCATAAACACCAATAAAGACTCTTCTTCCATATCAGTAAAAATATCCACATCTGTTAAAAATCCCAATAACTGGTCATTCCTGTATGCACAGGGGAGCACCAAACCCACAAGGGTCACACAGCATCAAAGAAATAGGAAACAAGTCTGATATGAGGAAAAGGAGGGTGTCTTCAATTCAATGGATCAAGAGCCCTTCATCAGCATCATGGTACTCTCCTTAGACAATCAGTAACTCATTAATACTAAAAGTTTCTCCTAAATTTTCCCAAGGACTGTGCTGGTACTCCGGGAAAGCGAAACGTTACAACAATGAAATGTCACATTAGTTGCACTTAAGTGTCCTTTAACCTTCTGAAACCTTATTTATTTTGTTGCCAATCTGTAGGCCTTACTACTTAAAATTTCCATTTATGAAAACAGTTGTGTAAAAAAGTGCAAATTCTTCACAAGCAGAGTAGTGGACACCTGGAATGGACCCAAGAATTAATGGGCCACACCCACTAGAAACTTTTAAAATATTTATAACAAACTAATGAAAAATAATCACCTGTCTCACAGCACCACTACCTCACCCTTCTGCACCAGAAGCTAAAGGCTCCACTGCAGAAGGAAACAAGTCCTTGTATGCTTGTAATATTCACAAGCGAATCACACTGTCTTCTCTCATAAGCCAATTTGTCTTTCTTTCTTCTTATTATATTTAGTGGGAAGCATTAAACTCATAGGGGTCAAACAGTTCCTGGGGAATGGGTGGCAGCCAGGTCCAATTCAAGAGGAGGCAGCTACGTCTAACTCCCTGAATCAAGGCCCCTAACCATCATTAAGAAACTTCCCTTGAGGAGTCAATTCATCTTTGGTAACCTTCCGTTTGCCCTGATGTTTCACCTACAGTGTGACATTGTATACTGTATTGTACCTACATCAACTTTACTTTTATAATGAAATTTAGAATGTAATCACAGTATCACACTGCTTATCTTAAAAATAGTAATGGATAAATATAATACCTGTAGAGAAAAAAATATGAAATTCAGATCAAGATATTTAAAGCTGCATTTAGACAAGAAAATAGTGAATATAATCAGTGTGTGTGTAAAGGTAGAAAGTTGAAAGTGAACATAGACAAGAGTAAGGTGATGAGGGTATCAAATGATTTAGATAAAGAAAAATTGGATATCAAATTGGGGAGGAGTATGGAAGAAGTGAATGTTTTCAGATACTTGGGAGTTGACGTGTCGGCGGATGGATTTATGAAGGATGAGGTTAATCATAGAATTGATGAGGGAAAAAAAGGTGAGTGGTGCATTGAGGTATATGTGGAGACAAAAAAATGTTATCTATGGAGGCAAAGAAGGGAATGTATGAAAGTATAGTGGTACCAACACTCTTATATTGGTGTGAAGCTTGGGTTGTGAATGCAGCAGCGAGGAGGCGGTTGGAGGCAGTGGAGATGTCCTGTCTAAGGGCAATGTGTGGTGTAAATATTATGCAGAAAATTTGGAGTTTGGAAATTAGGAGAAGGTGTGGAGTTAATAAAAGTATTAGTCAGAGGGCTGAAGAGGGGTTGTTGAGGTGGTTTGGTCATTTAAAGAGAGTGGATCAAAGTAGAATGACATGGAGAGTGTATAAATCTGTAAGGGAAGGAAGGCGGGGAAGGGGTCGTCCTCAAAAAGGTTGGAAGGAAGGGGTAAGGGAGGTTTTGTGGGCGAGGGGCTTGGATTTCCAGCAGGCGTGCACGAGTGTGTTCGATAGGAGTGAATGGAGATGAATGGTATTTGGGACCTGACAATCTGTTGGAGTGTGAGCAGGGTAATATTTAGTGAAGGGATTCAGGGAAACCGGCTATTTTTATATAGCCGGACTTGAGTCCTGGAAATGGGAAGTACAATGCCTGCACTCTAAAGGAGGGGTTCGGGATATTAGCAGTTTGGAGGGATATGTTGTGTATCTTTACACATATATGCTTCTAAACTGTTATGTTCTGAGCACCTCTGCAAAAACAGTGATTATGTGTGAGTGAGGTGAAAGTGTTGAATGATGATGAAAGTATTTTCTTTTTGGGGATTTTCTTTCTTTTTGGGTCAGCTTGCCTCGGTGGGAGACGGCCGACTTGTTAAAAAAAAAAAAAAAAAAATCTGACTTTTGAGATAGCAGTATATCCATCAAAATACGCATTTTATAAAATTCCACAATCCAAAAGTGAATTTAAATAAGGGTTACAGCGCCAGAGTGAAGCAAGTGACTGATGGGTTTGTAGCGCATCAAGTGCTGACTACCCTCTTGCAAGTCTAACTCTTCATCTCTGTAAAAGAAGAAACACTGTATAAATTATTAGTTCCCAGCAAATGTACATTTGCATATTAATGTTAGAAGGTTATGATTTAATAAAATAAAACTTTTAGGTTTTGATATTACAAAACTAGAAACTGCAAGCTAAAGTCAATTCCACTGCTCAATCTCTAGCTATTTAGTTCTATCAATTAAACACAAGAAACTGCCCATTCAACTATCAGAACTACCCTATAAAGTGCCTGGAAGATGTTAATTTAGCTGATTTTAAATGAAATCAATAAATTCCAATTTAAAAACAGTTCAAAATAAAGACTGTAAGCACTCCAGCCACTAAAGCAACTTTTCTTCTGTTCATTAATCACATCCCCAGGCCTTTCCTATATAACACATGCCCTCTATTTTGAATCTATCATCACACAGAAAACTAAATATTTTGCCTTATTTCTTGGTAATAAATATAACTAAGAATAACTAGTCATGATTCAAGGCATTCAGATAACTGACACAGACCTAATAAAAACACATAAAAGAAACCAAACAATTATGAAAGGAAATAAACAAATGCAAATATTTTAATTAAAAAATATGAAAGTAAGAATAGAAGTGAGATACAAGTAGTAAGTAATAGTTATGCATATACAGTATATTTAAATGTGAAACAAAGGTGAGGGAAAGAAAAAAAAAAAGAGGAAAAGGTGAAAAGCAGAAAAAAGAATAAACATATATTCTGGGATATATTAAGTAAATACTTATGGAATTTTGGATTAAGCAAAGTTTTTGTTTTGAAACATGTCAATACTACAAAAGTGAAAACACTGTTGTTGAAGGTGTAGAGGGTATATATGGAGTGCCTGATGTAAGCAACAACAGAGAACCTTTATTTGACTTATGATTCAACTGCTCCTAGGTAGTAGGTTGGTAGACAGCAACCGCCCAGGGAGGTACTACCGTCCTGCCAAGTGAGTGTAAAACGAAAGCCTGTAATTGTTTTATATGATGGTAGGATTGCTGGTGTCCTTTTTTCTGTCTCATAAACATGCAAGATTTCAGGTACGTCTTGCTGCTTCTACTTACACTTAGGTCACACTACACGTACATGTACAAGTATATATATACATACCCCTCTAGGTTTTCTTCTATCTTCTTTCTAGTTCTTGTTCTTGTCTATTTCCTCTTATCTCCATGGGGAAGTGGAACAGAATTCTTCCTCCGTAAGCCATGCGTGTTGTAAGAGGCGACTAAAATGCCGGGAGCAAGGGGCTAGTAACCCCTTCTCCTGTATATATTACTAAATGTGAAAGGAGAAACTTTTGTTTTTCCTTTTGGGCCACCCCGCCTCGGTGGGATACGGCCGGTGTGTTGAAAGAAAGAAAAGAAAAGGAGAAACTCTCGTTTTTCCTTTTGGGCCACCTCGCCTCGGTGGGATATAGCCGGTGTGTTGAAAGAAAGATTCAACTGCTTTGATAAAAGGCAATACTGTGTGCTAGGCAATACTATATGATTTGGAATGTATATGATTTTAAAAGTGCTTAAGTAATGCAAGAGGAAAGTGTAATACAAACAAAAGAGCACTGGTAATTAAAGAATGTTGCAGGTGAGTGGTACAAACAACTGCTGAAAGAAAAGTTGGCTAGTGCAAGAGAATCATGAGGAAAAAGTGAAAAAAAAAAAAAAAAAAAGCATGATGGAGAGGTATAGATGCTGTTTCAGGTGTGAAAAGGTTTGTGATTATTGGAGGGTAGATGTAAGAGGAAAGAAATAAATTTAAAATTTATAGTGCTGAGACTGAAAGTCATTCAGCATTCTATGCAGTAAAAGATTCTACTCACATGCATACATATTCCACATTAATAAACAGAAACTAACCCCCAAAGTGCAGATGAGAAAACAAATGTTTTGTAGAATGACAAGGAGAAAAGGGTGAAAATGTTGGAATATTTTACAGTGAAATTCATATGTTAATTACAACTCTGATCTCTTCTTAAAAAACAACTGCAAACTACAATTAGTCAAGGTGGCTAATATGAATGTTTGAGCTTAAAGATGATATTTAAAACTTACCGTCCTTCACCAGTGTCATCTTCAATCAAGACTCCCGGAGTCTCTTGCTTGACCTTAAAGAAGATGTAGCTGTCCAAGTTAGGCTTTATACTCATCTTGGCAGAGTCAAAAGTTCGAAGATTTTCAGGTACATGTTGCAACACAAGAGTTTGGAAGTGAGATTCCAAATTAGCTGCATAGCTGAGGAAAAAAAAAAGTTCCACTTAATATCTGTAAATACTGCAAATACATGAACCTGCATTTAATAATTCTTTTACATAAACCTTTTGGAGAAATAGTTACAAACAGCTTTTAAATTTTCCAACATTTTGTACGTGTTTCCTCCAGCATCTTTTTATGATAAGGAATAAACCAGAGAATTATTCAGTACTAGAAGCAACGAAAGATTGATTCTCCTTCCGCTAAGAATAAGACAAACAGGTTGCCTAACTGTTCTGACCTAGTTATTTCTTTTGGAAAACCCATATAGCAGTGATGAGCACAACAGATAAGCAACCTGGCTACTTCATATTCAAGAACAATTTTCAATGTTTTATTGTAATTGGTTTGAGCCAGAGAGAAGTAAATGTACATGTCTTGAAGATCTTTTTAAATTTAATGAACAACTTTTAATTTTTTAAAGATACAAGTTCACTAAAATTGTAAAAAATCTCATTCCTGTGAAAAAAAAAAATGGGCTAAGATGGACTTGATGTTTCAATGAGTCAGAAAATTAGACAAAAAACAATACCAGAAAAGTACAGAAAATATTCAGCTCTCGGAGGCCTGGTCATGGACCAGGCCGCGGGGGCGTTGATCCCCGGAATAACCTCCAGGTAACCTCCAGGTAACCACACCACTACACAATTTCATGCCTAAACAGATATAAATGCAAACACACACTACAGTTTCATATGGATAGTATCAAACTCATAAAAAGTGTCTTGTTAAATGATAGTGAATATACAAAATCAAATATCGGTCAAGTTTTTGAGTAGAGAATGGAAAAGAACATGATTATCAATAGGGAAAATTCCAAATAAAGATCTATTATAACACCAAGTGCTAAGAAAACAAGTTAACCATGCTGTTTTCAGTTATACTCTTCATGAATATACCTTAAAATTTACATACTCTTTTGCATAAGCGACTTCGTGTGGTGAAAGTGCTGCCATGGTCTCATCTGTCATGTTTGCTTCTTTTTCCAAAAGATAATGGGAAAATCTTTCAATTTTTTCAAGTCTGACACGAAGATAGCTACTTATTACGTATCTTATTCGATCGATCTGTAAAACAGATATTGTAAATTACACAAACTTATTATATTAACACTATGAATATACAAATTGAAATATAAAAAAAAAGCAGTAAAACACCATATACAATGTACAGTACAATCTCTACTATTCACTTATGTCTATTCTTGGCCAGCAACATAAACAGTAGTGGATTTTGGTAGAGAGCCAAGGACTCCTCACCCAAGTACACAGAACAATTGCTAGCAGTGTGTTAAAATAAAAAAATTGTAGATAAACAATATTAAAAACAAAAACAAACAGCAGTATGCTAAAGCATTTTGTTTTGGTGAGAAAGCCTATGTTGCAGGGAATTTTTATTAAAAAGCTTCATCCAAGACTGGACTTCATCAGAGCGTCATATATACAGTATTTGATCAAATCCAGTCCGGACTGAAACACTGTAATGAAGGTTTTCCTGTATTGCCTGCAACACAATGGGTTTCTCACCACTTGTTGGCTTATGAGATTGTTCATTAATTTTTTCAATTTACAAAGCATTACAACTGTCTGGTTATTCAGTGCTTTAAACATACAGTTTATAATATGATTAGCAATTAGACACTATCATTACAACTCCTGTATACATAATTGATTATGTATACAGGAGTCAGTGACTTAAAATGAATTTCATTAAGTCACTGACTACAAGCTACAGCAATTTTAGACAAATGAGATGCTGGAAAGCGATGCTGAAAGTGATACTGGATTCTTACTACAGACCAAAATTTATAAAATCTATACAATTTGTTACACAGAACTTCTGTATTCTCAGCATTAAAATACATGTAACTCAACAATTTAATGTTTCTTGAGGTTGGTCCTGCTCAGTAAAATACAGTATTATATTACTGACAGGTCTCAATAGCCAATGACCCAGAGTCAAAACTTCAGTGCTTTGTTGTACTGCTGTGAGCACCACCACTGACATATTCAACATTCTATGTTGAGGGTAATTTGGGAAAAATGTCAATAATTGCCTCAGAAGATGCAGACTAAATCACTTACTATTAAACAACAACCCTAGGGTATCATTTTTTCCACAAATACGCATTACCAGAATATATTTTTATTATTACTGAACATTTATGGTAAAGCATTAAACCTGTAGGGGGTCATAAAACTGCATTACTAGAAAACTTTAAAATTCAATGACAATAATACATTATTATAATCAAAAAGAAGCGCTAAGCCACAAGGGCTATACAGCGACAATAATATAAAAAATCACATTTTAATAGTGATGGAAGCCACACTTTTGTGTGATGATATACTGTACTGATAACGGTTCTTCATACATTCTTTTCAGTATTGAGTGATTCTAATAAGGGCTAAAACATTTGAACTTAAACTCTTTTGAGGTAATTTTTCATGGTGTTGGTCATTAGCCTTACCTCCATTTTATGAATAGCCAATCTAAAATCATGTTTTTTACATCGTTTAAGGTTTTCAGTCATCTGGTTGATCTGGTCAAGCATACAGTCTACCAGTTCACTCTGATGACACTCCAGTGTAGGAGACATTCGTTCAGTGATCCAAGCCTGAAATACAATGCTCTTTTAGTCAAGCAAAAAAAAATAAAAAATAAAAAATACTTTTGGCAAATACTGCAGAATTTTAGTAACAAAAGATTTCTCAACTAATTTCAAAATTTATTTACATGTGACCAGAGATTTTTTTAATCCTATAATGTTTCTTATAGACATTAAATCAAATAACCTACATAATTGAGCATTGGGCTCCATAACCACACACCTGTTGAAAAATAAATAAATAAATAAATAAATAAAAAAAATAAAAAAAATATATATATTTTTTTTTTTTTTTTTTTTTTTTTTATCACACCGGGCCGACCCCCACCAAGGCAGGGTGGCCCAAAAGAAAAACTTTAAAACCATCTTTCACCCCATCACTGTCTTGCCAAAGGGTGCTTTACACACATTTTTTAAAAAACTGCAACATTAACACCCCCCCTTTCGAGGCAGGCCTGTATTTCCCCCTCCCAGGACTCAAGTCCGGGCCTGCCGGTTTCCCTGAATCCTTCTAAAGTTTTTGCTCACACTCCAACACACGTCAATTTAAAAACCATTTGTCTCCATTCACCTATCAAACCGCTCAAAAACAGCCTGCTGGAAGCCAAGCCCCTCCACACAAAACCCCTTTACCCCCTCCCTCCAACCCTTCCTTGGCCCACCCCTACCCCCCCCTTCCTTTCCCCTACAGACTAACACTCTTGAAGCATTCGTTTCGCTCCATTCTCCTACAAACCGAACCCCTCAACAACCCTTCCTCACCCCCTGGACAAGTTTTTGGGAATCCCCGCACCTCCTCCAACTTTCCAAAAATACGAATCCTGCATATATTTTACACCACAATTGCCCCCAACATGACACTCCACTGCCTCCACCCTTTTCCCGCCAACTTCATCACCCCGCTTTAAAACCCATAAAGACTTTGGGAAAACATACTCTCATACATTCCCCCCTTTGCCTCCAAGGACAAATTCTTTGTCTCCACAACTCCAAGTGCAAACCCCCCTCTTTTTTCCTCATCAATTCTTACACCTCATCTTTTATAGACCCAACCGCTACACTCCCCTCCCAAATATCTGAAAACGTTACCCCTCCAACCCTCCCTCCAATCTGAATTAATCTTTTTATCACCTAATTTTTTTTATCCTCCTAACCTTTCTCTTTCCTGATTCACCTTTAATTTTCTTTTTTTCCACCCACCCAAATTTATCCCCGAACTCCCAAAACCTGTAAACCAAAACAGGGAAATTTTCCCTTTTTTATTTTTTTACAAAACCCCACCCTTTTAAAAACCCCGAAATTTACCTCCAACCCCACATAAAAAAAAAAACCCAACCACCCCTTTCTAAGGCCTTTTTTTCTAAAAAACCCCTTTCCTTACCAAAAATTACCAAAATTTCCCGTAAAAACCTTTGCCCAAACCCTCCCCTACCCCCCCTTTTGCCCTTTTCCCCCCTATCCACCCGTCTACCCTTTTCCAAAATAAAAACCCAAAAATTTTTATACTAAACTTTCCTTATTTTTTTCCTTAAACCCCGGCCAACCCCCCCCCTTTTTTTTCCAAAACCCCCCGGGGGGGGGGGGCCCCCGTTTTTTTAAAAAAAAAAGGGGGGGGGGGGGGGGGGGGGGGGGGGGGGGGCCCCCCGGGGGGGGGGGCGGGGGGGGGGGGGGGGGGGGGGGGGGGGAAAAAAAAAAAAAAAAAAAAGTTTTTTTTTTAAAGGTGTTATTTTTTTTTGGGGGGGGGAAAATTTTAAAAAAAGGGTTTTAAAAAATTTATTTTTGTTAAAAAAATAAGTTTATTTAAAATTAAAATTTAAAAAATTTTATTTAAAAATTAATTAAAAAAAATTTTTTTTTAAAAAAATATTTTTTTGGGTTTTTTAAATTTTTTAATTATAAAAAATTTTTTTTTTTTTTTTTAAAAAATTTTAAAAAATTTCCCCCTTTATTTTTTTTTTCCTTCCCCCCCAACTTTTAACCCCATTTTTTCTTTTTTCCCCTTTTTTGATACTTCCAAAAAACTCATTTCTTTTTTCCCCCCCCAAATTTTTTCCCTCTCTTCCCAATTCCTCTTCCCTCCTGAAACCCATTTTCCCTGTAAACCCAAATTTGCAAAAATCTCCCCCTTTTTTAAAAACCTCCCCAACCCTTCCCCCACCACTTCTTACCCATTTTCCTCCAAAGTTTTTTAAACCCCCAAAAACTCCCCTCTTTTGATCCTTTCCCTTTTCCCCCCTACCCTTTTCTTTTCCCCTTTCCCCTTTTTCCTCTTAGTAAAAAAAAAAAATTTTTTTGTCCCCCTTTTTCTGTACCCAAATTTTCCCAAACTTTTATTCCCCTTACATAACCCCCCAAAAAAAAATTTTTAAATTAAATTTAATTTTATATTAAAAAAAAAATAAATATAAAAATAATAAAAAAATTTAAATTTTTTTAATATTAATTTATTTTTTTTTTTTATAAATATGAAGATGGTGCTATTTTTTCATTATTATTTTTTATTTTTTCCCTTTTTTATTTTTTTTATTTTTTTTAAAATTCTGGTTTATTTTTTTTCCTTTTATACCCGGGGGTAAAAAATTTTCCTTTTAACCAAGGGGAAAAGAAAAAAATCCGGAACATGGGAAAAAACCCCTTTTGAAAAACAAAAAAAATTTTGAAATTTAAAGGGGGGAAGGAATTGGTGAGTTGATAAGGGGAATGTTGGGGAGAAAAAAAAGAAAGGGATTTTGGGTTTAAAAAAAAAGGGGGGGGGGAAAAAAAGGGTGGGGGGAATAAGGGTTTAAAGGGGGGGGTTTTTAAAAGATTAGAGAAAAAGGAACAAAAAAGTAAATCAGGGGGGAAAAAATTAAAAAAAAAAAGGGGGGTTATAAAAAAAGTTTGGGGAAAAAAGTGTTATAATAAGGGGCCCTGGAAAGAGAAATGTAGAGAGAGAGAGAGATTTTGGGGAAATGTTTTAGTGAATGCGTGGGGATTTTGAAAACAAGTGTGAAGTAAAAGGGGTTTGGGGGTTTCAATGCTAAAGGGGAAAAAATTTTTTGGAAGAGTGAGAAATTTTGGGTGGGCCCGGGTAAATGTAAATGGGGAACCTTTAAATTTAGCATGGAAAAGAAAAATTTTTTAATAAGTAATACAAATTTTTTAAAAAAAGAGGGTAAATAAATAACAAGGTATGAGTACACGTAAAAGAAAGTAGTTTATTTGATAGTATTGGGGGAAAAAAGGGTTATGGGAGGGTCCAGGTGTACTTTTTATAGAGGGGCAAAATGATATACGGACATTTTTAGTTGACACATTTTGAGTAAGAGGTAATGGGAAAAAAGGAAGGTGCAACAACAATAAAGGGAGGTGAAAGTGTATAAACAAGGGGGGAGGAAGTTCGGGTGAGATAAAGCGACATTGGCAAAAGGTGGGGGTAGTGCAAAGATGATAGGGGGGGGTTGAAGAGGGTTTGGGAAAAGTTTTAAAAATGCAGTAATAAAGGGGGCAAAAAAGTTTGTGGTTAAGGGGGGGGGGCAGGAGGAAAAGAGGGGGGGGGATTGGGGAATGATGAAATAAAGGGGGTAAAAAGAGAAAAAGGGACTTTTGAGAGTTTTTAAAAAAGCGAAATGTTATAAGAAGAGAAGTTAAAAGGGGATAAAAGAAAGGGAAAGAAGTGTTTAGAAGTGCAAAAAAGGGAACAGATGATAGAGTGGGAGAGGCCTGTCAAGAAATTTTAATGAAAATAAAAAAAATTTTGGAGGAGTTTTAAAAATTTTTAAAAGCCAAGGAAAATAGGATTTGTCAGTTAAAAACAGAGTAGGGGAGTTAGAATGGGAATGGAGGATTGGTAAAAGCGAAATATTTGAGGAAATTTTAAATGTTAAGGGAAAAAACAGAGGCGAAAATTTTATGCACGTCGGGAGGGAATCACTTTTGGGGTGAAAAACAGAAGTAAGTGGGGGGGGTACGTAGGCATTACGAAAATAAAGGGGGTAAAGAGCTGGAACGAGGGACATGACAGAAATGTTTAAAAACAGGGGGATATAGTGTTGGGGTGGTTGGTACTTTTGTTTTAAAAATGTATGAAAGGGGAAGGTACCAAGGATTGGGAGAGAGCATGTAAGTCCCTTTTTATAAAGGAAAAGGGGGCAAAAACTTTAAAAATTTATAGAGGAATAAACTTACTGATATACCAGGGAAAAATGTACGGAGGGTTATAAATTAAAGAAATAGAGGTAAGACAAATGTAGGATTTTGGGATAGCAAGGAGTTTTTTTTTTTTTTTTTTGAGTGGTAGGGGATGTGTAGATCAGGGTTTACATTTAAGCATATGTGAAAGTAATTAGTAAAGTAGGGGGGTTTTTATGCATTTATGGATTTAAAAAAAAATAGAAGATGGATGAGGAGCAATTGGCAATGGCAAGTATTTTTGGGGGTGGTTTAATTAAAAAATGCTGTTAAGGATTTTTTTTGAGGGGTATTTAGCTCAGGTTAGGGGTGTAGAAGAGAGGGGGAAATCTCCCGGGAAAATAGGTCTTAGACAGGGATGTGAATGTCACCATGGTTTGTTAAAAAATTTATAGATGGGGTTTTTTTAAGGGGAAATAAATGCTAGGGGGTTTTGGGGAAGGGGGGGGATTTAAATTATGGGGAAACAAAATTTAAAAAGGGAATTGACAGTTACTTTTTTCTGATGATACTGTGCTTATGGGAGATTCTAAAGAAAAATTGCAAAGGTTAGTGGATGAGTTTGGGAATGTGTGTAAAGGTAGAAAGTTGAAAGTGAACATAGAAAAGAGTAAGGTGATGAGGGTGTCAAATGATTTAGATAAAGAAAAATTGGATATCAAATTGGGGAGGAGGAGTATGGAAGAAGTGAATGTTTTCAGATACTTGGGAGTTGACGTGTCGGCAGATGGATTTATGAAGGATGAGGTTAATCATAGAATTGATGAGGGAAAAAAGGTGAGTGGTGCGTTGAGGTATATGTGGGAGTCAAAAAACGTTATCTATGGAGGCAAAGAAGGGAATGTATGAAAGTATAGTAGTACCAACACTCTTATATGGGTGTGAAGCTTGGGTGGTAAATGCAGCAGCGAGGAGATGGTTGGAGGCAGTGGAGATGTCCTGTTTAAGGCAATGTGTGGTGTAAATATTATGCAGAAATTCGGAGTGTGGAAATTAGGAGAAGGTGTGGAGTTAATAAAAGTATTAGTCAGAGGGCAGAAGAGGGGTTGTTGAGGTGGTTTGGTCATTTAGAGAGAATGGATCAAAGTAGAATGACATGGAAAGCATATAAATCTATAGGGGAAGAAGGCGGGGTAGGGGTCGTCCTCGAAAGGGTTGGAGAGAGGGGGTAAAGGAGGTTTTGTGGGTAAGGGGCTTGGACTTCCAGCAAGCGTGCGTGAGCGTGTTAGATAGGAGTGAATGGAGACGAATGGTACTTGGGACCTGACGATCTGTTGGAGTGTGAGCAGGGTAATATTTAGTGAAGGGATTCAGGGAAACTGGTTATTTTTCATATAGTCGGACTTGAGTCCTGGAAATGGGAAGTACAATGCCTGCACTTTAAAGGAGGGGTTTAGGATATTGGGAGTTTGGAGGGATATGTTGTGTATCTTTATATGTGTATGCTTCTAGACTGTTGTATTCTGAGCACCTCTGCAAAAACAGTGATAATGTGCGAGTGTGGTGAAAGTGTGAATGATGATGAAAGTATTTTCTTTTTGGGGATTTTCTTTCTTTTTTGGGTCACCCTGCCTCGGTGGGAGACGGCCGACTTGTTGAAAAAAAAAAAAAAATATATATATATATATATATATATATATATATATATATATATATATATATATATATAATATATATAATATATAAATATATATATATAAAAGAGGCATTGTTCAGTTAATCAGTACAGTTTTCTGCTGATGCTGCAAAATATTTCATACACATATATTTATTGTTTAGTGTACAGTGTTATACATGACATCTAAGTGACCAATAAAATTCAAGGTACTGTACAAAATAGCATAAAAATCACACAGCTTTTAAGTTTATTTTAAATACTATACACTCAATGGATCTTACACATTCAATGGCATACTAACCTTCTCTATACTGTATAGTATATTATTTGAAAGAATACAGCAGCTAGTCAAAAACCTAACTGTGGGATATACTTCCTAAACATTTTCTCTTAATATTTATTTTACAGTTAATATGTTATTAAGAGTTCTAATTTTGGTATTGGTATTGGAATACCCTCCATATAAAGGTATACTGCCAACAGTTATGAAGAAAAGATAGGTGCAGTGTAAGTTTCCTTTTCACCACCAGATAGGAAAATTTTCATCCTTAAAATAGGATTTAGAGTAAACTGTCAGCATATATGTGTTGAAATACACCGTCTGGTGTATATATCCTGCCTCACTCTTTATAGAACATGTGTAAAATATACAGTGGAGTTCTACAATTACACAGTAAGGAAAACTTGCCCACTAAAGACTTGTTTTTGGTGATCATCTTTAGCCCCATTTGTAGACACACTAGTAAGTTTATTTAGGTACAAGTACAAATAAATACAGTTAAACAAATTAACATACATAGTAATGTGTGTAAATTACCTAGGATAACCCAAAAGAGTCAAACAAAGTTTATTTATTTCCACTGGGGTTCCTTGTTATGCTAGGGAACTCTCGCCTCACACACAGTGTCTGTGGTTCGATCCCCGGGAAGGGTGCAAACATTAGGTGTGTTTCCTTATACCTACTGTTCACGTTCATCTAGCAAGTAGGTAGGTACCTAGGTGTTAGTTGACTGTTTTGGGTCACATCCTGAGGGACAAGATTGAAGGACCCCAATGGAAATGAGAGACAGTCTTCAATGACGCACTTCCTTTCTTGGGTTATCATCGATAGCTAACCCTCCAGAGGTAAAAATCCGAACAAAATCTTATCATTGTGACCTACAGCTCAGTGGTAGATGCACTCAGTTCATAGCCAAAAGGATTAAAACTCAATTGATTGGCCAGGTGAAACATATGGGCAAATCTCATTAAACTTGCTGACCGTATTCACCTAGATGTAAAGTCGAATTGTGGGTAACATCCTAAGAGAAGACTTCCAATGGAAATAAGGAATTATAATTGATTGTTTTTGATCTTACGTTAAATAAACATGTCAATAGCTTGAATATGTTTTACATGTAATGTTTTCATATTAGATGTATTTTTACGTCAAAGGTAATCATCCCTGGTCACAGACCGGGCCGCGGGGGCGTTGATCCCCGGAACTCTCTCCAGGTAAACTCCAGGTAGTAAGTTTATTCAGGTATACATAAAAAGTTACATAAATTATCATATATAGCAGGAAATGGTTAATTACCTAGGATAACCCAAAAATGACAAACATCAATTTAGATGCTTTTCTACCTGAGAAAATATACACGTCGACTATCTTCATGGTAAAATAACTCTCATATCACTCGTCTTAGCACCAGCCTACCTCTTCCAGTTTCTTGAGGACCTCTGATGCAGTCATTGCTTCACCTTCATCATCAGATCCTTCAATAACATCTTCCTCAGTGTCCGACATATTGCCAACTCCTCTTCTTCAAGATAAGAGCTTCTTGAAGGTTTCTTCTTCAAGGGACGTGAAGTTATTTAGAGGTTTCTTAGTCAACACCTCAGAGCAGTGACCCGAGCCAAGGTAAACAAACATTTACCGCCAAAATTTATTATTGTGGTATAAGGGCGGTGACGCCTCAAGGAGCCGTATGAACCCTCTCTCTCTGGACACTATCACTAATAGTAGTTGCCATAGTTTTACTAGAAGTACTTAGTAATGATAATAATCATATTTTTATAAAGTACACGATACAACTGATACAAAACTAGTTGACATTATTGGCATGCTTCATAGAAAGCCCCTAGTTATGCAGAGCATTTCTGGCAGCTTAAGTTGATCTCGTCTCCCAGGATGCAGGTAGGTTTATTCAGGTACAGGTACACATAAATACGTAGTTACATAAATTTTCATACATAGCAAGATATGTGTAGGTTACCTAGGATACGACTGATAACAGTTAGCTAACACCAAGGTACCCGTGGCCTGGTGGCTAAAGCTCTCGCTTTAAACGGCGATGCCAGGGTTCGATTCCCGGCGAGGGTAGAAATGCTGGACGTGTTTCTGTACACAGTTTCCCATCGTTGAAATGGGTATCTGGGTGTTAGTCGACTCGTGTGGGTCGCATCCTGGGACAAAACTGATCTAATTCGCCCGAAATACTCTGCATGACAAGCGGCTTTCCATATAGTAGTATGTCACTGATGTCAGTTAGGCCTATATACCTTGTACATGTACATGTAGAAATAGATATATTACATATTACTGTTAGGTTTTCAATGGTAACAGGTAAGGACTGCAATGGAAATAAGTCACTCTGTCTGACTTTTTGGGTTATCCCAGGTTCTCTACACATATGCTGCTATGTATGATAATCTATGTAACTGTATTTGTGTATACCTGAATAAACTTACTTAGTATTTCACCCGTACCTACCACTACTACTAGTTAGTAGGCCCGGTCTGTGACCAGGCTTCCTGGTGGATCAGAGCCTGATCAACCAGGCATCATTACCTGGAGTTTACCTGGAGAGAGTTCCGGGGGTCAACGCCCCCGCGGCCCGGTCTGTGACCAGGCCTCCTGGTGGATCAGAGCCTGATCAACCAGGCTGTTGCTGCTGGCTGCACGCAAACCAACGTACGAGCCACAGCCCGGCTGGTCAGGAACCGACTTTAGGTGCCTGTCCAGTGCCAGCTTGAAGACTGCCAGGAGCCTGTTGGTAATCCCCCTTATGTATGCTGGGAGGCAGTTGAACAGTCTTGGGCCCCTGACACTTATTGTATGGTCTCTTAACGTGCTAGTGACACCCCTGCTACAGCTGGATGCCCTGCCGAGAGGGAGCCCCGATCACTAGCAGCCAACAATACCCACAACCCAGCAAACCGCCCCGATGGGATCACCATCTATCTTTGGAAGAATGGCAAGCTCTTAGCATGGGACTATACCTGTGTGTCCACACTGGCTGACACCTATATCCATCACAGAGTGCGGCGATAGGGAGGAGCACAAGATCAGCAAGTACAGGGACATAAGCCAATAGTATCAATTTGTCCCAGTGGGATCAGAGACCTTGGGATCATGGGGAAAAAAATGCCAAAACGTTTCCTTAAAGAATTGGGTTCCAGACTCATCGACACCACCAGGGACCCAAGGGCAGCCACTTTCATGTTCCAGCGCCTCAGCATAGCCATCCAGAGGAGAAATGCTTGCTGCGTACTTGGCTTGCGTCCAGCCTCGGAGGAGCTGGAGGAAATTCATGATCTTCGATACATTGTGCCATTGTATTCATGTTTATGTTTTTCTGTAAATGTATTCTGTTTATTAATAAATGTTCACATAGAATATCTAATATTGGGGGTGGTAGGTGAAGAAAATATTCAAACAGCTCCGGGGAGAACCTTGAGTTTTCCCTGAGGTACGTTTATTGTCTTCTCTGAGGATGAGGGTCCCCATTCCAGCCATAGAGGTGGTACTTCCCTATATTATTAAAAAAATAAATAAATATATATATATATATATATATATATATATATATATATATATATATATATATATATATATATATATATATATATATATATAATATATAATATATATATATATATATAATATATATATATTATATATATATTATATATATATATATATATTATATATATATGCCTGGAGAGGGTTTCGGGGTCAACGCCCCCGCGGCCCGGTCTGTGACCAGGCCTCATGGTAGATTAGGGCCTGATCAACCCGGCTGTTGCTGTTGGCTGCACGCAACCCGACGTACGAACGACAGACAGGCTGGTCAAGTACTGACGTTAGGTGCCTGTCCAGTGCCTTCTTGAAGGCAGCCAGGGGTCTATTGGTAATCTCCTTTATATATGCTGGGAGGCAGTTGACCAGTCTTGGGCCCCTGACACGTATTGTCTCTTATCGTGCTAGTGGCGCCCCTGCTTTTCATTGGAACTTCAATTATTATTATAATCAAAAAGGAACTTCAAGCGCTCCCAGTAACTGAGGCGATTTATCTCAGTTATGCGCGCCGTGAAGCTTCTCTGTACATTTTCTAGGTCAGCAATTTCACCTGCCTTGAAAGGTGCTGTTAATGTGCAGCAATATTCCAGCCTAGATAGAACAAACAACCTGAAGTGTGTCATCATGGGCTAGGTATCCCTAGTTTTGAAGGTTTTCATTATCCATCCTGTCATTTTTCTAGCAGATGCAACTGATACAATGTTGTAGTCTTTGAAAGTGAGATCCTCTGACATTATCACTCCCAGGTCTTCTACATTAGTTTTTCGCTCTATTGTGTGGCTGGAATTTGTTTTATACTCCGATATAGTTTTAATTTCCTCACGTTTTCCATATCGGATTAGTTGAAATTTCTCATCATTGAAGTACAAGTACACATACTTGTAGAAACCAAGATATTATTATATTAAAAAGCGTTAAATCTACACAGGTGACAGCTCTGTTCACCCCACTTTGATGCTGGTGAAGAGCTCTTGATCTAAATAATTGGACATGTGTTCCTCGGATCAAGCTTAAATGTGTCTTATTCCAGGTTTCGCTAAGTAATTTCCTTGTGAAACTGCCCTCGTCTAACACTGGTATCCCTATCAGCTACTCAGATTTCTTAGCTATCAAAACTTGGGGCCTAGTGCCTGGACCCATCATGTGCCTCTGTAATATTTTGACTGCCGTACACTTGATGGGTACCAGGTGAATAATCAAGTTTTAAACTAACTCAGATGTAATGCATTTTTTTCATTTCACTCTTCGTTACGAGTTATTTCCTTCACTTGGAACCCCTCTCACCGAGTTCTGGTGCACCTTTGTTCACTACCAAAGTTTCTCAGATACAATAGTCTGAAGACAGTACGCAAGTTCCCACTCCCAGGACCAATCCCTAATCGTTATGATTATTAATGTGTGGGTGGAGGGGAGAAGTTGTCACTTGTTCTATTTAATATATTTTTTTTAGAATGTGCGTGGATTATTATTATTATAATCAAGGGGGAAGCGCTAAACCCGGAGGATTATACAGCGCCTGGGGGGGGGGATGTGGAAGGCATTCAGGCTTAATTCGGGGAACTGGAGCACAGATCCAATTCCCTAAATCAAGAGCCCCTCACCAACATCAAGGAAACTTCCTTGATGGGAGAATGTGCGTGGAATACAATCTATGCAAAAGACGATATTCCCGGGATTTCTCTGGGCACAGAAGAATTTTGAAGATTTCCATCATTGTTGCTGTTGCTATATAATCACTAGAGTAACTGTGTGTTGTACTCATCATGGTGCTCATAGATATTCGGTAGCACAAAGATGCGAGTATCCTAAATTCAATATTATTATAATCAAGGGGGAAGCGCTAAACCCGTAGGATTATACAGCGCCTGTGGGGGGGGGGATGTGGAAGGTATTCAGCCTTAATTCGGAGAACTGGAGCACAGATTCAATTCCCTAGATCAAGAGCCCCTCACCAGCATCATGGAACCTTCCTTGAGGGGCGAATATCTTAAAGAAGTGTTGTCATGATCTCAGAAAAGGGTGTATGATACTGACAAGTTAGCGAATAAGACGGAAGTTTATCGTTTAGGATGCTTTAGTGAGGACACTTTTCATCCACCAGAGACTTATCACCCCCTAGTGGATTAATAAAGCTTCTGGTGCGTGAAATGTAGTTTTATTAAAGCTTCTAAACTTTGTATGTGTCTTCTACAAATACAGAGTTTAAGAAACATCTCAATAAATGTCCTAATTGCTGCATCTCACATACGAGGACAATCACCATCGCCACCTTTTTAAAGTACTTCGTGCTTTTCTCAGTATCTTGTAGCTTTTAACTAGCTAGCCGTCTTTCCCACCGAGTCAGGGTGACCCACAGAAGAAACACTTTTACCATCATTCATACTATCACTGTACCTAACCTGTACTCATGTTTAATATAATAATATGAATTTGTAGCACTAATTTACAGCTAAAACATGCAGAATAGGTACTAAAACCTTTGATAATCTAAAATTTAGTGTTTAAGGCACTTTGAACAGGGCGAACTGGAGTCTCCCTATTTTAGTTTTTCCCCAACATGTCTTGATGCCAATATGAGCGGCTCTTGATCCAAGGAATTGGACCCATCCTCTATGATTAAAATCTGATTACCTCCCATTTTCCCAGATGATGTATGATTCCTATGGGTTTAGCATGACAGTGTCTTCCATTGCAGACACTGCAAGGCTCCAGGCGGACATCAACCAAATCTTTCAGTGGGCTGCAGAAAACAATATGAAGCTCAACGATGAGAAATTTCAATTACTCAGATATGGTAAACACGAGGAAATTAAATCTTCATCAGAGTACAAAACAAATTCTGGCCACAAAATAGAGCGAAACACCAACGTCAAAGACCTGGGAGTGATCATGTAGGAGGATCTCACCTTCAAGGACCATAACATTGTATCGATCGCATCTGCTAGAAAAATGACAGGATGGATAATGAGAACCTTCAAAACGAGGGATGCCAAGCCCATGATGACACTCTTCAGGTCACTTGTTCTATCTAGGCTGGAATATTGCTGCACACTAACAGCACCTTTCAAGGCAGGTGAAATTGCTCACCTAGAAAATGTACAGAGAACCTACACGGCGCGCATAACGGAGATAAAACACCTCAATTACTGGGAGCGCTTGAGGTTCCTGAACCTGTATTCCCTGGAACGCAGGCGGGAGAGATACATGATTATATACACCTGGAAAATCCTAGAGGGACTAGTACCGAACTTGCACACGAAAATCACTCACTACGAAAGCAAAAGACTTGGCAGACGATGCAACATCCCCCCAATGAAAAGCAGGGGTGTCACTAGCACGTTAAGAGACCATACAATAAGTGTCATTGGCCCGAGACTGTTCAACTGCCTCCCAGCACACATAAGGGGGATTACCAACAGACCCCTGGCAGTCTTCAAGCTGGCACTGGACAAGCACCTAAAGTCGGTTCCTGACCAGCCGGGCTGTGGCTCGTACGTTGGTTTGCGTGCAGCCAGCAGCAACAGCCTGGTTGATCAGGCTCTGATCCACCAGGAGGCCTGGTCACAGACCGGGCCGCGGGGGCGTTGACCCCCGGAACTCTCTCCAGGTAAACTCCAGGTAATATAATACACTACTGCAATTAGTAAATCACATTAACATACACTGCTGCTATAACTAAACTCCTTGTTACTACATAAACATTATACACTGCTTCTATAATTATACTGCCTGTAACTTCTCGTTTTACACTACTGCAACTACTGCTTGCCACCACTATTTTTTTCCTCACACGTGGCATTCCCAGTGTCTTTAGGCCTCATATCAGACTTGCTCTCTATTGACTGTTTCAGGTCATTGTCTTGGAGGTCGTAGAGATCATTTATTTGACCCTCCATGGCTGCAGGCGTCACGCTCGGGGGTTCAGAGCTGGTACATCTCTCCACAAGCTTCCACAGTCGCCGGTAGAAACGGGCGCACGTGCCGTTCACTACCTCACCTTCTAGCTCACATGGCTTCACAGGGCCTGCCATCATGAGAAAAATACAGTAGGCATTAATAATAATATTAATAATAATAATCTTTATTTCTACAAATACATGTACAACATATACAGGCCTAGCTAACATCAGTGACATATGACTACAGTAGGGTATGCGACAACGAATCTAATTGGTTCTAGAACCTCGTTCGTTATAGCGTTCGTTCGTTATAGGGGTAATCCGTTCCAGGCCCCCAAATACAACCACTTAATATAAATGTTAATTTAAACTCCTGAAATAAAGACTTATTAATACTTGTAATAAAAAATATATATTCAACTGCCTCCCAGCATACATAAGGGGGATTACCAATAGACCCCTGGCAGTCTTCAAGCTGGCACTGGACAAGCACCTAAAGTCGGTACCTGACCAGCCGGGCTGTGGCTCGTACGTTGGTTTGCGTGCAGCCAGCAGTAACAGCCTGGTTGATCAGGCTCTGATCCACCAGGAGGCCTGGTCACAGACCGGGCCGCGGGAGCGTTGACCCCCGAAACTCTCTCCAGGTATACCTGGAGAGGCAAGACAGGAGGCAGAGAACTACCGTTCGTTATGTAAATAGTCGTTATATAAACCGTTCGTTATAGCATATCCTACTGTATATAGAAAGCCCCTGGTTGTGCAAAGCATTTCGGGCAAATTAGGTCAATTTTGTCCACAGGATGCGACCCACACCAGTCGATTAACACAGCTAGGTGAACACAGACAGCAGGTGTCTGAAGGAAACACGTTCTAAGGTTCGTGGTCATTAAGATTGCAGATCACATGTACACTGATGTTTAGGAATATTTAAATCTCTAAAATAAGGATTAAAATTAACACTATACAAATAGTGTTCAGTGGTCATAGAGTGTTCAGTGGTCAGTCGTCACGTGAGGTCACAGACCCTGAGCTGCTTTGGGGATTAGCGTGGACGGTTACAAAGCATGGCTTGCTTCTGCAGTGTTTTAAAAATTGAGGTTGGAGAGTTGAAGGAGGAGGTCTTGCTTCTCCAGGAGGAGATTAGGAGGCTGAAGGTCCACCTCAATGGGTCTGGGAGAGAGTGTGAGGTGGCTGGAGTTGTGGGGAATGAGGCTTCTAGCAGTGAGGTGCAATCTGTCTCTCGCTGTGAGGAGGCTGTAGGTGGGGAGGTAGCAACGGCTACCAGCAGTGAGGTGCAGTCCAGCACCTGCTACAAGTGGCGAGTGGTAACCAGTAATGGGAGGAGAATCAGAATAAGGAAAGTTAAGAGTGAAGATCTGAAGGTAGGAAATCGCTTCTCTGTTCTTCAGGATGAATGTACTTCAGTGGCCAGTGAAGGTAAGGGTACTACTGCCCCTGCTAACAGAGGTAAGCGCATTCTTGTGGTTGGTGACTCTCAGGTAAGATATATTGACCGTGCTTTTTGTAATAGGAATAAGAAGATGAGAGATAGAGTGTGCTTCCCTGGAGCTGGTGTTGGGGACATAGTTAACAGGCTGGATAATATCATGTCATGTAATGGGAACAAGCCCATTATTTGTCTCAGTGCTGGTGGAAATGATATTGGGAAGGGTAGGAGAGAAGAGCTGCTAGGTAAGTACAGGTCAGCTATATATTTCATTAAGTCTAAGGGAGGGGTCCCAATCATATGTAGCATCTTGCCTAGAAGGGAGTAGGAAATGAATGGTTGTCTAGGGCAATTGTGTAAATTGCTGGCTAGACAGATACTGCAAGGAACTTGCAATCCCATTCATTGACAACTGGAACAACTTTTATGGCAAACATGATATGTATGCAAGGGATGGGGTACATCTCTCTGGGGCTGGGGTGGTAGCACTTGCAAACTCAATTGAGAAGGCCATTGGTGAAATGCCTATGATTTTAAACTGATAGAAGATAGAGGTATGGGTGTGTGTGGGAAACAAGCAGGTTGCAACACTAGGGTTGGAATCAGTAAATGTATAAAAGGCATTCAGCATGAAGTTATAAATAAAGACAATAGATCAGGTCAGCAAACAAAGGGGGACAGCAGAGGACAGCAAGGGACTAGCTCCCTTAAGGTTTACTATACTAATAGCAGGAGTGTAAGAAATTAGATGAGCTAAGATTAATTGCAAGTGCAGGAAACATAGATATTATTGCTATAACAGAGACCTGGCTCAATCTGAAAGATAGAGAGATGCCCTCTGAATGTTACATACAAGGCTATAAATTATTCCACACTGACAGGGTCAACAGGAAGGGTGGTGGAGTAGCGATGTATGTCAGAGACAATTTAAATTGTTGTGTTAGACAAGATATAAAAGTAGAAGCGTCAGCCACTGAATCTGTTTGGTTACAGCTTCTCGAGGGTCGAGAAAAACTAATTTTGGGTGTGATTTACAGGGCCCCAAATCTTGAAAGGGAGTGCAGTAAACTTCTATGGGACGAAATTCGTAAGGCATCTACATACGAAAATGTTGTGCTAATGGGAGATTTCAACTATAGACAGATTGACTGGCATGGTGCCAGATAAGTGGAAAATGGCAAATGTGATACCTATTTTCAAAACAGGTGACAGGTCCTTAGCTTCGAACTATAGACCAATAAGCCTAACCTCCATAGTGGGAAAATTTATGGAATCAATAATTGCCGAGGCAGTTCGTAGCCACCTTGAAAAGCATAAATTAATCAACGAATCTCAGCATGGTTTTACAAAGGGGCGTTCCTGCCTTACGAATTTATTAACTTTTTTCACTAAGGTATTTGAGGAGGTAGATCATGGTAATGAATATGATATTGTGTATATGGACTTCAGTAAGGCTTTTGACAGGGTCCCACATCAGAGACTACTGAGGAAAATTAACGCACATGGAATAGGAGGAGAAATTTTTTCCTGGATAGAGGCATGGTTGACAAATAGGCAGCAGAGAGTTTGCATAAATGGGGAGAAATCAGAGTGGGGAAGCGTCACGAGCGGTGCTCCACAGGGGTCAGTGTTGGGCCCCCTGTTGTTCACAATCTACATAAACGACATAGATGAGGGCATAAAGAGCGACATCGGCAAGTTTGCCGATGACACCAAAATAGGCCGTCGAATTCATTCTGACGAGGACATTCGAGCACTCCAGGAAGATTTGAATAGACTGATGCAGTGGTCGGAGAAGTGGCAGATGCAGTTTAATATAAACAAATGCAAAGTTCTAAATGTTGGACAGGACAATAACCATGCCACATATAAACTAAATAATGTAGATCTTAATATTACGGATTGCGAAAAAGATTAGGAGTTCTGGTTAGCAGTAATCTGAAACCAAGACAACAGTGCATAAGTGTTCGCAATAAAGCTAATAGAATCCTTGGCTTCATATCAAGAAGCATAAATAATAGGAGTCCTCAGGTTGTTCTTCAACTCTATACATCCTTGGTTAGGCCTCATTTAGATTATGCTGCACAGTTTTGGTCACCGTATTACAGAATGGATATAAATTCTCTGGAAAATGTACAAAGGAGGATGACAAAGTTGATCCCATGTATCAGAAACCTTCCCTATGAGGATAGACTAAGGGCCCTGAATCTGCACTCTCTAGAAAGACATAGAATTAGGGGGGATATGATTGAGGTGTATAAATGGAAGACAGGAATAAATAAAGGGGATGTAAATAGTGTGCTGAAAATATCTAGCCTAGACAGGACTCGCAGCAATGGTTTTAAGTTGGAAAAATTCAGATTCAGGAAGGATATAGGAAAGTACTGGTTTGGTAATAGAGTTGTGGATGAGTGGAACAAACTCCCATATACCGTTATAGAGGCCAGAACGTTGTGTAGCTTTAAAAATAGGTTGGATAAATACATGAGTGGGTGTGGGTGGGTGTGAGTTGGACCTGATTAGCTTGTGCTACCAGGTCGGTTGCCGTGTTCCTCCCTTAAGTCAAGGTGACCTGACCTGACTAGGTTGGGTGCATTGGCTTAAGCCGGTAGGAGACTTGGACCTGCCTCGCATGGGCCAGTAGGCCTTCTGCAGTGTTCCTTCGTTCTTATGTTCTTATATACTCCTGGTATTCGGTCAGTCATATCAGACATGAAGCAGCACTAACAACTATGTAAACAGAGTGAATACATGCAAGCTTCATCTCATCTTCATAAGCCTCTACAATGGTTACAGTTTATTGAGTTGTTCAGAAGTAGCAATAAGCAAGAAATCAAACTTTTCTAAAGGTTTTAAGAACATAAGAACATAAGAACGAAGGAACACTGCAGCAGGCCTACTGGCCCATGCGAGGCAGATCCAAGTTTCCTACCGGCTTAAGCCAATGCACCCAACCTAGTCAGGTCAGGTCACCTTGACTTAAGGGAGGAACACGGCAACCGTCCTGGTAGCACAAGCTAATCAGGTCCAACTCACACCCACCCACACCCACTCATGTATTTATCCAACCTATTTTTAAAGCTACACAACGTTCTGGCCTCTATAACGGTATATGGGAGTTTGTTCCACTCATCCACAACTCTATTACCAAACCAGTACTTTCCTATATCCTTCCTGAATCTGAATTTTTCTAACTTAAAACCCTGGCAGTCTTCAAGCTGGCACTGGACAAGCACCTAAAGTCAGTTCCTGATCAGCCGGGCTGTGGCTCGTACGTTGGTTTGCGTGCAGCCAGCAGCAACAGCCTGGTTGATCAGGCTCTGATCCACCAGGAGGCCTGGTCACAGACCGGGCCGCGGGGGCGTTGACCCCCCGGAACTCTCTCCAGGTAAACTCCAGGTAAATTGCTGCGAGTCCTGTCTAGGCTAGATATTTTCAGCACACTATTTATATCCCCTTTATTTATTCCTGTCTTCCATTTATACACCTCAATCATATCCCCCCTAATTCTACGTCTTTATAGAGAGTGCAGATTCAGGGCCCTCAGTCTATCCTCATTTTCAAGATTCCTTAAATTTTGCCACTAACGTGGCTAGTTAATTATGCACCTCATATTCAATCTGTGGACGGTAGCGCAAGAGCACCTGGATGTACAAAAGACCTGGCAAATAAACCCTAGGGCCGCCAAACAGTTAACAGGAGTACATCTGGATTTATATCTGCAGTTGTCTTATCTGTTGCAAGCAAATTTGGGAATATTTGCTTAATATGTCTGATATTTTATTTTCATGAAAGATGCCGTGACATCTTACAGAGGTTTTCGAAAAGCCGAATCGAAGGATTTCTGTCGTGAATCTGAAAGACTAGAAACCAACACTACCAGGAATTGGAGTTACTTTACCTTTCCTCGACTCAAGTCTGACTACCTCTCATTCCTCTGACGATATATGGCCCCTACGGGTTTAGTGTTTTCTCAACAAGAATGAGTAATGGAGTCACCTGTAAGGACGGAGACCAGTGTGCTGATAATGATGGTGTTAATGATGCCAGTGATCCCGCTGTAGCAGTAAGAGATGTCGTAGATGGTGTCACCCGAACCTCTGTTGATATATCATTATCATCGTCATTGCCATTATCCTCGTAATAATATTAATAATAATAATAATAATAATAATAATAATAATAATAATAATAATAATAATAATAATAATAATAACGCATATGTCCTGTAGCCTCGTCTACTCGTGTGTATTAATAATAAGAACACACACTACCTCAAAATATACAATAATTCTGAGAAGGAAAGGAATGGGAAATGATAATAGATAAATTGGAGGAGAAGAGAAAGAACTGGTGCAGGATTAAAACTTAAGAAGAATCACATGAACAAGAGCACCTGGAAGACCAGTGTTGGAATGCAAGGAGCAAACAAAATAAAGTATATGTTATATAAAGATATATATATAATATATATATATATATATATATATATATATATATATATATATATATATATATATATATATATATATATATATATTTATATATATATATATATATATATATTCTTTCTTTCAACACACCTCCGTATCCCACCGAGGCAGGGCGGCCCAAAAGGAAAAACGAAAGTTTCTCCTTTTACATTTAGTAATATATACAGGAGAAGGGGTTACTAGCCCCTTGCTCCCGGTATTTTTTAATCGCCTCTTACAACACGCATGGCTTACGGAGGAAGAATTCTGTTCCACTTCCCCATGGAGGTAAGAGGAAATAAACAACAATAAGAACTAGTAAGAAAATAGAAGAAAACCCAGAGGAGTGTGTATATATATGCTTGTACATGTATGTGTAGTGTGACCTAAGTGTAAGTAGAAGTAGCAAGACGTACCTGAAACCTTGCATGTTTATGAGACAGAAAAATGGACACCATCAATACTACCATCATGTAAAACAATTACAGGCTTTCGTTTTACACTCACCTGGCAGGACGGTAGTACCTCCCTGGGCGGTTGCTGTCTACCAGCCTACTACCTTTAATAATAATATATATAATATATATTATATATATATAATATTATATATATATATATATATATATATATATATATATATATATATCACGATTAGTGGGCGTTCGAGCCTCCACCACTCTTTGTACTAAATGCCAATAGAGTTTCACATAAAGTATAATAATACAATATCTATAAGTGAGGTAGACTCTGACTCAATCATTGGTACAGCAGTAGTGGCGAAGGTGAAATCAAGAGTGTTATTGAGGCCGCTTTGAAGCACATCGTTGAGGCTGGTTTCAAGTGTGTTGTTGAAATTCTCAGGACAGCCGAGAGTAGAAAGAGGCATATTCTTTGGGCTCCCACCACCTCTTATTATTTTGCCGATCACCAGCCAAATGTTGAACAGGAAAGCCAGAGAGGAGCCCACGATGGCACCCTGTCGGAGACGAGAAAACCCTGCTAGTTCTAGTTCATTTTCTTTTTGTCTCCTAACCCGCAATGAAATCCAACTATATCTCCAAGGAAGCCAGATTATTATTACCAGTATTACATTGAATCAAACAAGATCAGGAATACAACAAAATATCAATTTCAAAATGCCAGGATATATTTACCTTTTTGTTAACCCAAGGGGTGCAGATGCCCACTATGAAAATACCAGAGAGGGGGCCCTTGATGGCACCTATAAGGCTGTTGGTCAAGTTAAAGAGGGTGCCCATCTCTCCCACCAGCAGCCCTATACACATGGCTACCATCATCGTCACAAATGCTGTTACACGTCCATGCCAAGTGAAAAAGTCATCGGTTACATTTCATTTGGGCTACAGATATTTATCTCTGTAATTCATCAATATTGATTACCATTATCTGCAATTTCTAACACTAAACACTACATATATATTACACAGGAGCTTGACGATGTTGGTGGAGAAGCGTTCATCGACATTACTGAAGTAACGCAAGTTTTTCATGAAGTCTACCCAGATGACACAGGCTATGGCGTTCCCGTGTGATGACAGCGAGCTGCAAGAGATGAAGACCATATATGGAGAAAGTAACAAGGTTTGTAGATTGCAAGATGCTTTTACTTTGAAACTTTGGCTGGGCTATTAAGTATCTGACAGTACAGTTTGTATGGAGATATCAATGGTATAAAATGCAGTGTGTGGACAAGACAGGGTCATACACTGGAACATTATTTCTTAGTGTCCAAACATCGAACCTTGCAGAGACACCTCCATTCACGTTTTACAGGATATGACAAAACACCTCATTGTTAATGATATCTGAAATATTGGGGTTGTATCCAGTTTTTCATCGACTAAATGAACAAACTGTCTTTACTGAGATTGGAACCAGCTATGACTAATGTTTTTTTATTATTTATTTAGTGGAAATAAGAAAACTTTTTTTTTGAGATTGTCTTGCCTACTGTACAGCAACTATATGAAATACTTGTAAAATGCGAAATAACAATTATTTTATAGTGATGTAACAATGCTTAGTTGGGTCTTACGAAGAACCACTGTGACCTCTAGTTATTTTTTTTTTTTGCACTACCGCTGACAGGATGAGCATGGGAATGCGTAATAAACTAGCCACTTACGCGGCACAGCTACCTAAACTATTCTCACATCATCTATAAAACTGCTGTGAAGAATAGCCTCCGGAGTGTTGAATAGTTAACTAAATTGTTTTAGCCAAGTGTTTTTGCTTTCATTTTTCTTAGAGCCACTTGACCAATGGGCACACCGCAGCTCCAGTGGCGTAGCCAGGTTCTAAAAAAAGGCGCCATGACACATAAGACAGAAGGAACACTGCGACATGCCTACTGACTCATGCGAAGCAGGTCCATGCCACCCCCCGGCCTAGAAAAATAACCACCTAGTCAGGTCACTTCCACTTAGGAAGGAGCACGGCACCAGACCTGGTAGCCCAAGCTAGTCAGGTCCAACTCACACCCACTCATGTATTTATCCAACCTATTTTTAAAACTACACAAGGTCTTAGGGTCTATGACGGTACTCAGGAGTTTGTTCCACACATCCACAACTCTATTACCAAACCAGTCGGTATTTTATACCATTTATTTCCAGTCTATCCTCATAGGGAAGATTTCTGATACATGGGATCAGCTTTGCCATCCTCTTCTGTACGTTTTCCAGAGCATTTATATCCATTCTATAATACGGTGGCCAGAACTGAGCAGCATAATCTAAATGAGGCCTAACCAAGGATATATAGAGTTGAAGAATAACCTGAGGACTTCTATTATACATTTTTTATTTTGTTTTTAAAATCAAAACACAAGGAACATACAGTAAGCTCATAAATCTCAAAACATAATAAAAACATATTTATTATTTATTTTAATTTTAAAATGGAAACAAAACGAAGCAATGTGAACAATGTATGATGCAACTACAACAATCTCATTCGTCTAGGTTTCATTCTAGCAAAGTTATCTATTATTATTATAATCTACCTCAGTAGCCAACTCTCTTTCAATGGAGAGCAAAGTTAACCCAATCTATCCTCCCCCACTGTAGAACCAAGGTGGGACTTTGTGTGTTTGAGCCGACTAAAGGATCGATCGTTCCGCAACTACGCTAGTTATTGGCAAGGTCAGAAAGATCTGGTACAATGTGGACAAGTTAGGATAAATGGAACACATATCATTGGCACAAATGAACTCAAGTTAAAAAATTGTTGAAAAGGCGCCACTTTTTGAAAAAAATTGCTCAGGGACAGCGGTCTCTCCCCTTGCTCTTCCTCTAACTCCGCCACTGCACAGCTCATATGATGTGAAACGAGTCAGTCATGGATCGACAAGACACCGAGGAAACAGGAGTTGGTGTGGATAGATGAAGCGTTTTGGTCGGAGTTGACAGAAGTGTGGATATGTCAAAGTAGTTTTACTGGAGTTTATCTCAGCAGAGGTGTAGCTATGTCGGAGTAGTTATACTGGGACTTAATTAACCCATCAGAAGAGTAGATATTTCAGGCACTGATGAAACCACTCGTGGAGAAATGTTTCCTATTAATATATGGAGGATATTTTTTCTGGTATGCCCCTAGAGGTGTAGAAAGATCAGGGAATTCGACTGAGCTGCAGGGTAGATTAAATGAAGGACTATACCGGTAGGCGGTAGTCCGAAGATTTGAGGTACATGAATGAATCCAGATACTGGGGCCCTTAGGACTCTTCAGAGAAAGTATTTATTTCATTACTATGTACACGTGTTAGAGCCCCACCTGAGAACACCGCCGTACACCGCTGCCACGAAGAGCCCTGATATACCCGGTAGATGATTCAACTTATCTGTCACCAGATAAGGCATAATCTGGTCAGCTTTTGCTATTCTTCCCGAGGTGAAGGGATCACAGTCCCTGTAGACGGCATAGGCGACGAGACCAGATAAGTAGAAGACTCCCCACACTATAAACAATCCTACTGTGAACAAAGTGCAAAGTCTGCAAGAGAGGAAAGAATGTGAGTTAATGAATTAGCCTTGATGTGTTATTGATCTAAACTAATAAAAACTGCGTAGAATGCTAAACGTCAGCTGTAAAAAAAATGTAATAAGCGTAGTTATAATAACAAAAAAGGCACAATACCGTGACTGAACGATACACAAATAACCCGCACATAGTCATCCCTATCTTACAAACCTTATTTTACACCTGTGAGCACCGACAGGAGTTCGCGCTCTGGCTACTAATATAATTATCAAGCTTGATCTTCAGATAGTTCCTGACTATGGAACTGAACTTCTCCAGGCCGAGGGACTGACAACCTCAAATTCTACGACTTCAAGGGTGATGGACTGATTACATCGTCTTCACATCTCTACTGTTCCTGCCTACTTTCTGTATTCGACTGAAGAAGCCTACTGTGTAGGCGAAACGTTTCGGAATAAAGTTGCCTAACTGTTGCCTATGTGTCTTACCTACCAACCTGTCGGTATTGTATACCATTTTGATGTTCATCTAAACTTATCTAATTTAAATCCATTACTGCGGGTTCTCTCTTGAAGAGATATCCTCAAGACCTTGTTAATATCCCCTTTATTAATACCTATCTTCCACTTATACACTTCGATCAGGTCTCCCCTCATTCTTCGCCTAACAAGTGAATGTAACTTAAGAGTCTTCAATCTTTCTTCATAAGGAAGATTTCTAATGCTATGTATTAATTTAGTCATCCTACGCTGAATGTTTTCTAACGAATTTATGTCCATTCTGTAATATGGAGACCAGAATTGAGCTGCATAATCTAGGTGAGGCCTTACTAATGATGTATAAAGCTGCAGTATGACCTCTGGACTTCTGTTGCTTACACTTCTTGATATAAATCCCAGTAATCTATTTGCCCTTATTACGTACGCTTAGGCATTGCTGTCTTGGTTTAAGGTTGCTGCTTACCATAACCCCCAAGTCCTTTTCGCAATCTGTATGGCTAAGTTCTACATTATTTAACTTATAAGTGCTAGGATTATGGACACTCCCGAGCTTCAGAACCTTGCATTTATCTACATTGAACTGCATCTGCCACTTTTCTGACCAAGAGTAGAGTTTGTCTAAATCCTCCTGAAGTTCCCTAACATCTACGTTTGAATCAATTATCCTACCTATCTTCGTGTCATCGGCGAATTTGCTCATATAACTAGTAATTCCTTCATCAAGATCATTGATATATATTATAAACAACAACGGGCCCAAGACTGATCCCTGTGGAACGCCACTTGTTACTGATCCCCACTCGGATTTAACCCCATTTATGGACACACTCTGCTTCCTGTCTGTGAGCCATGATTCGATCCACGAGAGCACCCTTCCCCCAATGCCATGAGCTGCTACTTTCTTCAACAGTCTTTGGTGCGGAACTCTATCAAATGCCTTACTAAAATCTAAGTAAATAATATCAAATTCTTTATCGTGGTCAACAGCCTCAATTCTCTTTGTCAGTAAGATGCCCATAGTTATTTTTAAGGGGACCTATCTTATCTCTGACTTTTGTTCTATATACCTGGAAAAAACTTTTTGGGTTAGTTTTAGAATCCCTAGCAACTTTAATTTCATAGTCCCTTTTAGCTTTTCTTATCCCCTTTTTAATGTCCCTCTTAATTTCAATATACTGATTCATAAGATGACCCTCGCCTCTTTTGATACGCCTATAAATTCCTTTCTTATGCCCTAGTAGATATTTCAGCCTATTATTCATCCATTTTGGGTCATTTCTATTTGATCTAATTTCTTTATAAGGGATAAACGTTCTTTGAGCAGCATGTATAGTGTTCAGAAAACTGTCATATAGATAGCTCTCTTCGTTACCCCAGTCAACAGATGATAAGTGTTCTCTAAGCCCATCGTAATCTGCTAAGCGAAAATCTGGGACTGTTACTGAGTTATCCCTACTATCATACCTCCATTCAATGCTAAATGTAATTGATTTGTGGTCGCTAGCACCCAGTTCCTCTGAAACTTCTAAATTATTAACAAGGGATTCATTGTTTGCCAGAACTAAGTCAAGCAGGTTATTTCCCCTTGTAGGTTCAGTCACAAACTGCTTCAAAAAACAATCCTGAACTACTTCTAAGAAGTCGTATGATTCTAAATTCCCAGTCAAGAAATTCCAATCAATATGACTAAAGTTAAAGTCTCCTAGAATTACTACATTATCGTGCCTTGTGGCCCTAACAATTTCCTCCCATAGTAGTCTCCCCTGGTCCCTATCTAAATTTGGGGGACGGTATATCACACCTAAAATTAATTTTTCATGCCCCTCTGAAAATTCTATCCAAACAGACTCTGTATGTGTTACTTCAGACTTAATACCCGTTTTTATGCAACAGTTCAAGCGATCTCGGACATACAATGTCACCCCACCCCCCTTCCCGACACTTCTATCTACTTGGAACAATTTAAAACCCTGAATGTGACATTCTGCAGGCATGTCCCGACTTTTTGAATTAAACCACGTCTCAGTAATGGCAAATACATCAATGTTACCTGCACTAGCAACTAGTCTCAACTCGTCCATCTTATTCCTAGCACTGCGACTATTTGTGTAATAAATATTTAAAGACCCTCCATTCTCTTTACCCTTCCTGCTCCTTTCTGTTATTCCACTAAACCTATTATTGTCCTTGTCAATTAGTGCCACTGGCTTTCCAATATCCACCTCATTTTGCCTATTACTAGTTCTCCTAGTACTCATATTACTACCCTGCGACTTCACAGTTTTCCTGCCAAAACCCATACCACTAACTATTCCTAGTTTAAAGACCTAACAGCTCCCTCCACTGCGTTGGCCAGTGCTCCCACCCCACACCTAGATAAGTGAATCCCATCCCTGGCATACATGTCATTTCTACCATAGAAGAGGTCCCAGTTGTCAACGAATGTTACCGCATTTTCCTTACAGTATTTGTCCAGCCAGCAATTGACACCAATTGCTCTGGACAACCATTCATTTCCAACTCCTCTTCTTGGCAAAATGCCACATATGACAGGTTTCCCACCCTTCCTCCTAATTATCTCTATTGCTGACCTATACCTGCTAATCAGGTCCTCACTCCTACGTCTGCCAACATCGTTGCCTCCAGCACTGAGACAGATAATAGGATTGCTCCCATTACCTCTCATGATGTCATCCAGATGGCTAACAATATCCTTCATCCCAGCCCCAGGAAAACACACTCTCTGCCTCCTACTCCTATCCTTCAAGCAGAATGCTCTATCCATGTACCTAACTTGGCTATCCCCAACAACAACAATGTTTTTACCTTCCTTGGCGTCGTCCGTCGTGATGCTCCGAGTAGTCGACTCACATTCGTCAGGTAGCATTACACCACTTGTGGAATTCGTCAAGACGTTCTCGATGGTCTTCGTTGGGGTTTCTAGGGATGTCTCACTCACGTCTGCCAATGCTTCCTTGGTGCTCGTTGTGGCATTCCCAGTAGAACACTCACATTCGTCAGGTAGCACGGAGAATGGGTTGGAAGTTTCCACGGTAGTCTTCTGGTTTCTCGTTGTTTCTGCCTCTCCAACCGTTTTCTTGATCCTCAGCTTTGTTCCATGTTGCCCGGCCACTGACCAAGCTCCCCTCTTAACCTGGGGACTCACAACAGGAGGATTACTACGAATCCTCTTGTTCTCCTCCGTTAATCGCCGTATCTCCATCTTAGCAACTCTGAGCTCCTCTCTCAGCTGCTGGTAAAGTTGCTCAAGAGAGGGCATCCTGGTTGAGATTCACAGAGAGCACACAAACAGGTCTTCACAAAGCTAAGTACACGTCACCACTGAGCTAAGTACACACCGGGCGGATCGAGATGTCAGGAAAAAAGTCTTTCGACACGGGTGTTATTCAGGTGATGACCCAGTCAGTGGTCAAGCATATGCTTGCCTACCCCAACTAGGTTGTACACTTGACTCAAAAAACGAAGGATCACTATATAACAGTGCACCTGCTGCCCATACTCACCTAGCAGCAAGTAGTTATCGTACCTGGGTGTTAGTTGACTGCTGTGGGTCGCAGCCTACTGAAATAATAATTGTATACAGTCCCGACAAGTTGATAAATAAGACACATGTGCAACACTTTGGTATCTTTATCTGTATTCGACTGAATAAGCCTACTGTGTGGGCGAAACGTTTCGGCAATAAAGTTACTAAAGTGTAGCACGTGTCTTATTCATCTCATCTACTTGGCTAAGAATGCTTTCATCTCATAGCTGCCACTCATTCCTGGAACTCCATAAACTGTTATAAGTGTCCTAAAGTCGATACACTCGTCACGGGTGGGTATATACCGAGAGTTATCTATGTGTATACATATATACAAACTGATTTTTTTCTTTAATCCGTATTTCAGTGATATGCGTCTTTCATTGCATCAAGTTATGCTCTTTGATAATTATGAAATATAGTCTGCCAAGTACTTAAGCGATGTCAAATCTAGTTATTTTTTTTTTAAAGACTAAGAGCTGTTTGTTATCTTACTTCAGTTCTTTTACAGCTTGATGCCACCCACAAGATGAACCCCGGACATTTAGGTTGTAAACCAAATATTAAATCACCAAACTACCTGACAAGTGATATAGATCTGGTGTATTTCAATTTCAAGATAGCACTGTAATAAAATAGTTATGTTAAATTGTATAAAGAATTTTCTACAAGAAAAAGTTACCAATAAACTAAGGTTTATTCCCCGAAACTAAGAACTAATGTTAAACTTACGACTGTGAGAGGCTGAGAGTCTTGACTGAGACGAGTCTCTGGAACTGAGGTTGGTTGAAGCCAACCATACTAAGTGCCATGTAGGCTCCCAGCACTTGTGTCGACCAGAAGGTGTGACGTACAAAGGGACTGGGATCCATACTGCACAGGAGACAGGCAAGAGGCTTAGTTTAATATTTTTATTATGCACCCCATACCCATCCTGTGGGCGCCGAGGCAAGAGACACTTGTATAAATCTAATATTTCACCGTTTACATACTTGGAACATACAAATGCACATGAACACGATGAAACAGATAAACATGCTGAAGAGAATGTTTGGGTATGACAAAATATACAATAATTATCTTTGTTTACTGTTTCCATATCGGTTCATTTGCACCGCTGACCAGTGTTTACTAAACTTTGTGTATGTACACATACATGTCAACAAGTCAAGATACACTCTGGACTCTCTTACTTGAAGAATTGGATTCGCCCTCCTTGTTCGGCGATTGTCCACACGTTGGTAAGTCCTCCCAGCTGATAGCAACAGAGCACTGTCACTACCAACACCCCAACGAACATTAGAAGTGTCTGTACCACGTCTGCGTAGACCACAGCCTTCACTCCGCCCTGTCATCATCACTGTCATTATTGCTGTCACCTTCACTACAATCATTATGAACATTACATCACTAGCTTATCATAGGTTCGAGACCCACCCGTTTGATGATTTGTTCCCAACACGTTTCCACCTGAACAACGAGAACCTTGTTTTTCTATAATTGCTCGTGTGTGCGCATTACCTGGCTCTGTAAAACACTCCGTATAAAAACACCGGCAAGTATGTGAATAAGCCAAAATAAAACTTATACCACTTACCGAGAAGGTATTTCGTCCACTTGACTTCATCAATCCATAAAGCCACTGCCGCACGAAACGACTTCTCGGTAAATGCCGTAAATTTCATATTGTCTTACATTATCTGAAGTATCTCAGAGAAAGATCTATGCAACACTGCCATAGAGTAAGAGCTTTTATTCGTCAGAAGACAGGTCAAGTGTCCCTTGGCACAGGGTTTTCATCGACATTATATTTTGCATTTATGTATAGAATATATGCATGCAATATGTACATATACTGACAGTGTGTGCATTCATATGTATAATTAAAAAAAATATTGTTTTCCATGAAATGAGAAACACAATATTTAAAACCAATTTGTGGAAAAAACTTTAAATATACCAAGTTTGAGCAACCAATGTGTGACGGTTAACAAAGCTTACTCTTGTGTGAAGGTTAACAAAGCTTACTCTTGTGTGAAGGTTAACAAAGCTTACTCTTGTGTGAAGGTTAACAAAGCTTACTCTTGTGTGAAGGTTAACAAAGCTTGCTCTTGTGTGACGGTTAACAAAGCTTACTCTTGTGTGAAGGTTAACAAAGCTTACTCTTGTGTGAAGGTTAACAAAGCTTGCTTTTGTGTGAAGGTTAACAAAGCTTACTCTTGTGTGACGGTTAACAAAGCTTACTCTTGTGTGACGGTTAACAAAGCTTACTCTTGTGTGACGGTTAACAAAGCTTACTCTTGTGTGAAGGTTAACAAAGCTTGCTCTTGTGTGAAGATTAACAAAGCTTACTCTTGTGTGAAGGTTAACAAAGCTTACTCTTGTGTGAAGGTTAACAAAGCTTGCTCTTGTGTGAAGGTTAACAAAGCTTACTCTTGTGTGAAGATTAACAAAGCTTACTCTTGTGTGAAGGTTAACAAAGCTTACTCTTGTGTGAAGGTTAACAAAGCTTACTCTTGTATGAAGGTTAACAAAGCTTACTCTTGTGTGAAGTTAACACAGCTTACTATAGTGATGTAGAAAGAACATATGAGTCCCATCAACACGACGGAGCCCCAGATGGGGAGGCTGGTGACTGAGGAGAGAGCGAGTGATGGAGCGTACAAACCGATCCCCATGTACACGAAGGACGCCAACATCTGGATTACTGTAGCAATCTTGCGCAGTGCCTGGGACTTGAACCGCAGCTCTATATACTGTGAAAGTAGTCCCCTATTTATATGACATGGGTGGTAGCCCTCTGGAAAAGGTAACGTAAAATCATGTTTAAAAAAAAAGTATTTTTGGTTGGTTAATTGGGTTTGAAATCTACCGACTACACGAGGGACATTAAGGCTAGGTTTAGTGCTTCTTTTGATAATAATAATAGCATGTAACCTTTCCAGACAAGAATATTCTGATCCCTAAAATATGGATCAACTTCGAGCTTAAATGCTGGATGACAACGCTTTCGCCACACACACCGAGTGTCTGTGATTCAATTCCCGGCCTGGTGGAAATACTGGGCATAATTCCTTACACCTGCTGTCCCTTTTCACCTAGCAGTAAGTAGGTACCTGGGTGTTAGTCGACTAATGTGGGTCGCATCCTGTGGGGACATGACTGAAAGACCACAATGGAAATAGGACAGTCCCTCGATGGCGCACTGACTTTTCTTGGCTAACCTTCCGAGTTAAAAAACCGAACAAATCTTATTTTACATATTCTGTGAAAACATTAAAAGCATGAATGGCTAATTAATTAGCAACTCTAAGACTCTTTAATTATTGCTTTTTAAAATTTTAAGCATATATTTTTATTATCATTTTTATTCTTTCTTATATGGTAATCATATCTGAGTGGATGTCAGCCTCACTGTTTGTGTGTGTGTACTCAGCTAGCTGTACTCACCTAGTTGAGGTTGCAGGGGTCGAGTCCAAGCTCCTGGCCCTGCCTCTTCACTGGTCGCTACTAGGTCACTCTCCCTGAACCATGAGCTTTATCGTACCTCTGCTTAAAGCTATGTATGGATCCTGCCTCCACTACATCGCTTCCCAAACTATTCCACTTCCTGATTACTCTGTGGCTGAAGAAATACTTCCTAACATCCCTTTGATTCATCTGTGTCTTCAGCTTCCAACTGTGTCCCCGTGTTGCTGTGTCCAGTCTCTGGAACATCCTGTCTTTGTCCACCTTGTCAATTCCTCTCAGTATTTTGTAAGTCGTTATCATGTCCCCCCTATCTCTCCTGTCCTCCAGTGTCGTCAGATTGATTTCCCTTAACCTCTCCTCATAGGACATACCTCTTAACTCTGGGACTAGTCTTGTTGCAAACCTTTGCACTTTCTCTAGTTTCTTTACATGCTTGGCTAGGTGTGGGTTCCAAACTGGTGCCGCATACTCCAATATGGGCCTAATGTACACGGTGTACAGGGTCCTGAACGATTCCTTACTAAGATGTCGGAATGCTGTTCTGAGGTTTGCCAGGCGCCCATATGCTGCGGCAGTTATTTGGTTGATGTGCGCTTCAGGAGATGTGCCTGGTGTTATACTCACCCCAAGATCTTTTTCCTTGAGTGATGTTTGTAGTCTCTGGCCCCCTAGACTGTACTCCGTCTGCGGTCTTCTTTGCCCTTCCCCAATCCTCATGACTTTGCACTTGGTGGGATTGAACTCCAGGAGCCAGTTGCTGGACCAGGTCTGCAGCCTGTCCAGATCCCTTTGTATTTCTGCCTGGTCTTCGATCGAATGAACTCTTCTCATCAACTTCACGTCATCTGCAAACAGGGACACCTCGAAGTTTATTCCTTCCGTCATGTCGTTCACAAATACCAGAAACAGCACTGGTCCTAGGACTGACCCCTGTGGGACCCCGCTGGTCACAGGTGCCACTCTGACACCTCGCCACGTACCATTACTCGCTGCTGTCTTCCTGACAAGTATTCCCTGATCCATTGCAGTGCCTTCCCTGTTATCCCTGCTTGGTCCTCCAGTTTTTGCACCAATCTCTTGTGTGGTACTGTGTCAAACGCCTTCTTGCAGTCCAAGAAAATGCAATCCACCACCCTCTCTTCTTGTCTTACTGCTGTCACCATGTCATAGAACTCCAGTAGGTTTGTGACACAGGATTTCCCGTCTCTGAAACCATGTTGGCTGCTGGTGATGAGATCATTCCTTTCTAGATGTTCCACCATTCTTCTCCTGACAATCTTTTCCATGATTTTGCATGCTATACATGTCAGTGACACTAGTCTGTAGTTTAGTGCTTGATGTCTGTCTCCTTTTTTAAATATTGGGACCACATTTGCTGTCTTCCATGCCTCAGGCAATCTTCCTGTTTCGATAGATGTATTGAATATTGTTGTTAGGGGTACACCTAGTGCCTCTGCTCCCTCTCTCAGGACCCATGGAGAGATGTTATCTGGCCCCATTGCCTTTGAGGTATCTAGCTCACTCAGAAGCCTCTTCACTTCTTCCTCGGTTGTGTGTACTGTGTCCAGCACATGGTGGTGTACCCCACCTCTCCGTCTTTCTGGAGCCCCTTCTGTTCTCTCTGTGAACACTTCTTTGAATCTCGGTTGAGTTCCTCACATACTCACGGTCATTTCTTGTTTCTTCCTCTTCCTTCCTTAGCCTGATGAACTGAGTCCTTGACGGTTGTTTTTCTTTCCTGGTGTGGCTGTATAACAGGTGGGTCTGTATTTGGCTTTTGTTGCTATGTCGTTTTCATATTGACGTTGGCCTCCCTTCTTAATCTGTGCATATTCGTTTCTGGCTCTACGATGCTCTCCTTATTCTCCTGGGTCCTTTCGCCTTCTTATTCTTCCATTCCCTAGACACTTGGTTTTTCGCCTCCTTGCTTCTTTGGTGAACCATGGGACTCATCCTGGCATTTCCATTATTCCTTTACCCTTGGGTACAAACCTCTCCTCCAGCCTCCTTGCCATTGTTGCAACATATTCCATCATCTCATTACTTGCTTCCCTGCCAGTTCTCTGTCCCACTGAACCGCATTCAGGGAAGTTCCTCATTCCTGTGTAGTCCCCTTTCCTGTAGTTTGGTGTGTGTGTGTGTTTGATTGTGTGGGTGTGTGTGTGTATGTGGGTGAGTGGAGTGTGTGTGGTGAGTGTGTGTGTGTGGTGTGGGTGTATGTAGGTGTGGGTGTGTGTGTGTGTGTGTGTGTGGTGTGTGTGTGTGTGTGTGGTGTGTGTGTGTGGTGTCGTGTGTGTACTCACCTATTTGTACTCACCTATTTGTGGTTGTTTTTTTTCCAGGGAGTCGAGTCCTAGCTCCTGGCCCCCGCCTCTTCCACCGGTTGATACTAAGCCCTCTCTCTCCCCGACCCATGAGCTTTAATCAAAACCTCGTTTAAAAATGTGTATGGTTCCTTGCCTCACTACGTCATTTTCTAAGCTTTTCCACTGCCTTACACCTCTTATGACTGAAGAAATACTCCTACTATCTCTCTGACTCATTTGTGTCTTCAACTTCTCCAATTGTGGCCTATTGTTTCTGTGGTCCCTCCCTGGAACATCCTGTCTTGTCACCTTGTCTATTCCGCAGTTTTTTATAAGTCGTTATCAGTTCCCGGACCTCCTGTCCTCAGTGTCGCAGGCCGATTTCCCCTTCTTCTTTTTCTAGGGACATTCCCCTTAGCTCTGGACACTAACCTTGTTGCAAACTTTGTACTTTCTCTTGTTTTTGAGTGCTTTATTCAAGTGCGGGTTCCAAACAGGTGGTGCATACTACCAGTCTGGGCCTGACATACACGTGTTCCAGTGTCTTGAATGTTCCTTACTAAGGTATCGGAATGTGTTCTCATGTTTGCCAGGCGCATATTGCGCAAGCATTATCTGATTGATGTGTATGCTTCCGGAGCGACATGCTCGGTGTTATACTCACCAAGATCTTTCTCCGTGAGTGCGGTTTGCAGTCTCTTGCCCACCTAGCCTATTCTATGTCTGTGGGTCTCTGTGCCCTTCCCCTATCTTCTGACTTGGCATTGGCAGGATTAAATACAAGAAGCCATTTGATGGACAAGGTTGTCCAGTCTGTCCCGTTCTCTTTGAAGTCCTGCCTGGTCTCATCAGATTTAATTCTCCACCATTAACTTCGCATCATCTGCAAACGGTGACACTTCTGAGTCTACCCTTCGTCATGTCGTTCACTGTGGGTGATGTGTTGTGTGTGTGTGTGTGTGTGCGTGTGTGTGTGTGTGTGTGTGGTGTGGTGTGTGTGTGTGTGCGTGTGTGTGTGTGTGTGTGTGCGTGTGTTGTGTGTGTGTGTGTGCGTGTGTGTGTGTGTGTGTGTTGGTGTGATGTGTGTGTGTGTGTGTGTGTGTGTGTGGTGTGTGTGTGTGTGTGTGTGTGTGTGTGGTACTCACCTAATTGTACTCACTGTTTGTGGTTGCAGGGGTCGGAGTCACGCTCCTGCCCGCCTCTTCGTGATTGCTACTAGGTCTCTTCTCCCCCTGCCCCATGAGCTTTCATCATACCTCGCTTAAAACTCTGTCAGGTCCGCCTCCACTTAGTCACTCTTAGGCTATTCCACGGCTTATACTCTATGACTGAAGAAATATTCCTAACATCCCTTTGATTCATTGAGTCTTCAAACTTCCAATTGTGACTCTTGTGTCAGTGTCCCTTCTGGAACATCCGTCTTTGTCCACCTTGTTCTATTCCCGTGCCAGTAATCATGATGTCGTATCATGTCTCCCTGACTCCTCTGTCCTCCAGTGTCGTCAGGCCGATTTCTCAACCCTTTTTCGTAGGACAATCCGTAGCTCTGGGACTGTTCTATGTGCAAACCTTTGCACTTTCTCTAATTTCTTGACTGCTTGATAGGTGTGGATTCCAACTGGGGCTGCTATACTCGTATGGCATGCGTAAATGGATAGAGTCTTAAACGAATCCTTACTGAGGTATCGGAACGCTATCCGTAGTTTGCAGGCGCCCGTATGCGGCAGCATTTATTGATTGATGTGCGCCTCAGGAGGTATGCTCGATGTTATACTCACCCCCAGATCTTTTTCCTTGAGTGAAGTTTATAGTCTTTGGCCATCTAAACTTTATTGTGGCTGCTGTTTCTTTGCCCTACCCCAATCTACATGACCTTTGCATTTGGCAGGTTAATTCATGGGAGCCGTTGCTGGACCAGGCTTGTAGCCTGTCCAGGTCTCTTTGTAGTCCTGCCTGAATCTCATCCCGATTGATTCTTC